GATTTTTTCCAGAGATGTTTGCCACCAGCTATATCAAGAGTCAATATGCTATCAATGTGTGGATCCCTAGAAGGCTGCTTTTCTTTCCTTATATCCATTTTTCATTCTCTCTACTAACCATGCATTTTCACAAAAGGTGGAATATAAATATATTTTGTGTGTACTCTGTCAGTCTCCTATTATACCACAGAACTATGATTTTTTTTAAAAGATCAGAAATATGATAGTAAATCATGTAATATTTTCTTTAAGGTTTACTTTTTGTTGGGAAAGGATTTCACTTTGTGACATTGACTGACCTAGAGGTTACTACATTGGGGGGACAGGACTTTGAACTCATGGCAACCCTCAAAACTCATGGAACAATTTCAGTAATTAGCCTCACATGTGCTGGCACTACAGGCTTGTAGCACCACACCTGGCTGCAGTTTTCCTTCCATACTTAGTTCCTAATTACTCTGTGATATCTTCATATTTATTGTGTTTTATATATTTTATTACTACCTGCCTCTCAATAATCTCCTTTAGATGACACTAAGATTTCATATGTCTGAGTATAAGGTGATCATTTGATGTAACTCAAGTATAAGGTAGATAATACACCACCCTTCCTCTATTTTCATTCCCCATATACTTACTTGCTCCAAGAATACTGTGTCCCCAATAGCATTTTAATTATTCATAACATTTATTTTCCCTTTTTATTGGTACATTTTAGTTATCCATATTAGCAACATGCATGGTAATTTTTTTTTTTTTTTTTTTTTTGCAGAACCGGGGATTGAACTCTCATCTTTGCACTTACCAGGGAAGCTCTTATTCCACTGAGCCATCTCCCCGGCCCCATGCATGGTAACTTGTACCTGCATATTGCATTATCTTTTGTCTTCATTATCCTTCATTTCTTTCACCCTTCTTCCCACCTTCATTTACAAAATCGTTGCTTCTTCCATTTTTCCTTCTGTTCTTTTTTCTTGTTCCTTCTTTCCTTGCCCCTACCCCTCCCTTGTTTTTCACATCTGAATTCTTCTCAGATTCTTCAAAAAATCAAAATCAGGGGTTCCATTTGACCCAGGTATTCCCCTTCTTGTTATCTTCCTGGAAGAATTAAAAAGACCATGCCACCGTGGCATATGAACACTGATATTTATAGTGGCAGAGTTTGTAATGGATAAATCTTGGCAACAGCACAAATACCCATTGACTAATGAATATACAAAGCAAATGTGGTTTTCTTGTACAATGGAATATTACTGTGCAATAGAGAAGAAAAGGCTTGAGACATTTCTTTTTTTTTTTAATGTTTATTTTTTTTTATTTTTATTTTATTTTTAATTAACTAATTAATTAATTAATTTGTGTGTGTATGTGTGTGGCCAGCTCAGCCCACTAGGGGGCGGGGCTGGCTGGCATGTGGTGCTGGGGGATTGAACCGCGGTCCCTGTGCTTTGGTAAGCTTGTTCCAAGTAGGTGCTTTAGACCACTGAGCCATCTCACCAGCCCCGGCTTGAGACATTTCTAACTAAGTGAATAGACCTTGAGATCAGACTCTTGAGTGAAATAAATTGGACAAATGTATAAATATTTTATAGTTTCTCTGGTGCAGAAACTTAAAAGTTTAAGGATCAAAATGCATCAACCTTACTTAAAGTTTTTTCTGTGAAACCAGATTCAAATCACAAAATGCTGCATATGTGTAATCAAAGAAAGAATGACTTCATTCTTTGAATAATCAGTTTAGAAAAAAGATATAAGTTAAATTCTATCAGGGGCTGGTGAGATGGCTCAGTGGTCTAACACACCTACTTAGAACAAGCTTAGCAAAAAGCACAGGGACCGCGGCTCAATCCCCCAGCACCACATGCCAGCCAGCCCCGCCCCCTGGTGGGCTGAGCTGGACACACACACACACACACACACACACACACATAAATAAATAAAATTTAAAAAAAAATCTATCAGAAACATTCATTGTATAGCCCCTTCCCTTTTGGGGTGAGATAGTGATTTGCAGGTTCCTGTAAATTAGGACCTCTGATGTAGAAACAGTGCACAAGTACAGTTTCTGTGGCCCTAGGGACAACCATTCTGTTGTTGCTGTAGCAGTGAATTGGGATCTTGTGTTTTCATATCTGTGAAAATATGTGCATATAAAAGGGTCTACAGGTCAAGACATGGAGTTAATCTCTGGAGGAATCAACTTCAATTTAGCTTTTCCAACAGGCAGTCAGAAGTTTTAGGGTGAGTGTCAATCATCATTGAGGTAACACACATGTGGTTATTTAGGAGGCAGTGACCTTGGAGGATGTGACAGTGACTTTCACCAAGGAGGAGTGGGCTGTGCTGACTCCATCCCAAAAGAAGCTCTACAGAGATGTGATGTGGGAAACATTCTTGAATGTGGCTGCTCTAGGTAAGGATGACATTTTCTCAGTTATATGATGAAAAACTGATGGTTAATGATTGTAGATTCATTAAATAGAATGTGATAACATTTTAAACAATAGCAGGCCTGTTTAATTATACCACAAATCTAATTGCTATCTGCTAATTTTTATATGACACTGTGACTTCATGTATTTCTTTGGCTACAATTCAGGAAGGACCTGGGACAGCCAGCAAATTGAAGAACTCAAACATTGCTCAAGAAATCTAAGGTAGGGCTGGAGAGATGGCTCAGTGGTCTAAAGCACCTACTTGGAACAAGCTTGGCAAAGC